CAGAATCTTGAATGAGTGGAGTGAGTTTGTTGATGCCGTTATTTACAGCTTTATGCTGTATTTTTTAATTTCTCATTAACTCGCTTGCTCCATATCGTCCCATTTCAACCGCTTTTCGACCCATCCAAGGCAACCCATATTCAACAAATCCATCAACTGCTGTGCCAACCACAGTATCAAAAACGCCCGCCCCTTCAGACGGGCTATTTAGTTTTTTGACGCTCGCGCTTTTGGTTTTTTTGTTTTTCTTTTAGTTCCACTTCCCGTCTGTGGAACTTGACTCATTTTCACATATCTAACTTTCTTACGTCCAAAGACTGCACATTTACAATAGAATTGAGTTCGCCCTCTTTTATCTTTTTGGTAACCACTTGGCTCTGTGCAAGGAGTTACTCTTTTATCTACAATGCAATATGATTCCTTCATTTAGTATAATGTTTAGATAAAATGACTAGAACTAAGTTTTTAAAAGGTGAACTCAACAACATATATAATCTGTTAAACGTGAGTTATGAATATGTTGATTGTGCTAGATTGGAGGAGGATAATCGATTTGTAAAAATATTTGAGTTGCTTATGGAAATTACCGATAAATCAAACTTACTAAGACAAATTGTTAAGGGAAGTTATTTTGTCTAATTACTCGGCTGCCTGTGCGCCCAGTCATAAAATGGGCTTTCGGTCGTCGGTGTCAAAAAGTGGTCTCCCGGGGGAGGGAAGACACGAGGGTCTGGTACCGAGAAACGATGTTCTCACAAATGGTTTCATATGAGTTTCTCTTGCACGAACCCTTGCACGGATACTTTTTGTACCTCGTCTGCGCTCCCCCTGAAAAACCCACAAAGCGTTGCGAACCTGAAGAAGGCTGTTTGCGTTGTTCGAAGCGATTCGATCATGGGAGTCACTCTATAATTTTTTTATTGTTCGAGTTTAAGTCAGTTAGATGATGTTGGCGCTGGGAAAGTCAGAGAAATGCTCGCGTTGCATTCAAACCGACACGCTGTTGACGGTAGGTTCACACTAAAAGGTGACTGTGAGCGTCAGGTTTGGAACGCCGTGGCCGCTTCGTGAACTCAAAGAGAGAATTATCGATCGATGTAGTACATGAGCAATTAAGAAGCACAATTTTTGAGCAAGGTATTTCACCAGTTGACGACACTATGGCTGAAGACTTGGTTGTAAGCCTTCGTAGTCAGTGAAGCGAACAACTCAGTTGCCGATGAATGGCACCACGCACGTCTATGAGCGAGGGCCGTGACAACTTTGCCATGTTAGAAGACTGGCTTTTCCTTTAAATATTTCCTTCTATTTAATGCAACACACGCCACTTTGGAGGTCTAAATTTCGGATACTGAGGATAAAGAAGACACGGACAAAAATAGGGACTCTGAGAATTTCGCGCACAATGCACAAGTTTAAAGCTTCACCGGAACATCCCATCCGGGAGCTTCACAGAGAGCGACTTGAGGAAAATAGGAGCTATTACTGACAACGTTTGGTGACTGAGTAGAGCATACAAGTGTAGCCCACGTCGAGGTTTCAGGGGGTTTGCTTTTGTTTGTATTTGTATCTTGCTAAGCTTTTATCATTAAATTTGTACATGATCTTGTGATCACAATTCTGTGTTTTCGCCCATTCAGCAAGCACGCTATGTTGATGTCAGCATTAGCGAGTTTCAGAAACATGCCTTTGAAAGTTTTTTAGCTCTCGTGATGTTTCTTGATATTTCTTTTACCATTTTATGAAGATGTTAACTGAAGTCACCGCAAAATGGAAACTTAAAAAAGCGTATAATCCATTTATCTCGAAACATAACACACATGACTTATACGACCTTTATTTTCGTAAAGGTGTTTTGAATACGAACGAACAGTCAATGTGAGAGGCAAAAACAGCATTAATATAAGTGAACCATAGGGTTTTAACTAATATAAGGGTCGATTATTGTGCATTGAGATGAATCGCTTGAAAAGAGAGACTTCGCTTGAAGATACATACATACATACATAAACTTTATTAAAGTGTCAAGGTATTTAGCTGAAAGCTAATTGTGGACATTATAAATAAAGTATAAGTATATGTAAAAATATTAAAAATATATTCTTAAAATATCATTAATATACAAAAATAACATCAATATATAAAATTATTACAGACAAACAGTAGGACAAGCTGGGAACAAACAAAGAACAAACAAATAGATAGACAAAACAGACAATCAGATAGACAGACAAACAAACAGACAATATAGGACAAACATATAAGCAGCAGTAAAATATAGATACAAAATTCAGAAAGTTAAAAGTCTAGGAAATTTAAATTAGACGAATTAAATAGAGGATAGGGGAGCACACCCCCAATACACCAGGTAGCCACACAGCAGAAGCTACCATGCATACCCACCACTCTAAGATGAGCATGCACAGCAGCCACACCTGCCGTCCAGCAAGCCAAGCACATTGAGAGCACGCACCCCTCTCCTGAATGCCTGAAGACTGGTCTTACTGCGTAGTTCCTGGCTTATCTTGCCCCATATGTGTGGGCCTAAATATCTGATACTGTGCTTGCCATACTTAACAGTATTATATCTTGGAACAGAAAAATCACTTCGTAAGTTATAATGCTTATCTTGCTGAAAAAACATATTACATACATGCTCTGGAGCTAGTGAATTTTTAACCTTATACATTAAAATTAGTATATCTTGTAACCGTCTGTTCTCAAGACTGGAGAGTCTTCCCTTCTCTAGGAGTTCCTCATACGTAGCATTCCTATCATTATATACAGCACGTAATGCCCGTTCTTGTACTCTTTCTAATTTTCTTGCATCAGCTGCTTTGCAAAAATGCCACACTATGTGACAATATGTTAAGTTAGGTAGGATTGCTGATTTGTACAATTGTAACTTGGCTTCTCTGGGAATCATACTTCTAAGACGTACTAGAACACTAACTTTCTTACTTGCCATTTTGCATATATCACTTATATGAGTACTAAAACTAAGTTCATCATCTAATGTTACTCCCAGTAACTTCAAGTCTGGTGATGATTTAATAACCTGTTCATCAATCTTGACATTGATAGATGGACTGTCCTCATTTTTGTTCTTCCTGCCTAATAACATTACATTGTACTTGTCGTAATTTCCCTTCAGAAAATTATCTTTGTACCATTTTGGTATAGTGTGCCCCCCATTAGTTAAAAGATGTTCCACGCAGTCAACTGAATACCCCTTTACATACAGCTGATGATCGTCAGCGTACATTGACAAGCTTGCATTATTTACTATATACGTCATATCATTTTGAAAAATGTTCCACAGTAAGGGTCCAAACGATGACCCTTGAGGGCATCCTCTAACAGCATCCTTCCAACTGCTAGTGACTCCATTTAGTTTGACTCTGTTTTGTCGATTGGAAAAATATGATCTCATCAAAGTGAGTGATTCCTTTGAAAAGCCATACGCCTTAAGTTTATTTATCATGAGTGATGGATGTAGGGAATCAAATGCTTTACTCGTGTCTGTTGAGAGTATTCTAATAAATTGCTCAGAATCCACAGCCAGCTTCCAATCTTCAGTGAGTCTGAGCAAAGTAGTTTCACAACTATGTTTTTTCCTATACGCAGATATGCAGGGATCAAGCTTGGAATCAAAATGATTATTCACTTGTATGCTCATCATAGACTCAAAAACCTTATCTACTGTACTTAGCAATGTTAGATGTGATCAGAAGTAAACAAAGGCATAATAGTGCGTCACGTTCAGTCTTTTTAATATCCAAGGAGTCACTGTGAATAGTGTTTCCATATTGTTTAGCTGGCACAAAAACTTCGGACGAGTTATAAAGCGGCATAGTTATCTTCCATGAAGAAAAGTTCGTCTTGGGTGAGACAAACAGAACTGGAGCGAATTTTTAACTCGCATCGGTATCAGGTAAAAAATATGTTATCGATCGTTTCATCTATTTACATTGTTTGAAGTGCGTGCTGGTAAACGCAACATGCAAGCGAGAAGTCTTTAAACTTTTTTAGGTCTCAAAATGCAAAGGATTTTATTCCTTTAAGTTAGAGAAAAATACCATGAGGAACATCTTAAAACTGAATATTTTTCTTCTTGTGGAAACAATAGTGCGTTTTCTTGTAAACTGAGGACCGCAAATTAGGATCGCACTTTTCACAAACATGCGAATTCCGAAGTTCAGAAGCCAACCGACGATTGCGTTTTTCACTGCTGTCAATCATCTTAACGGACCTCTTAGGAAACAAAACTCTACTTCACGGGTTCAAAAGGTCATGGTTTGTGATTTGTGGATTTCGATCCGTTTTGTGTGTTTCTCTGTTTCAAGGTTCGTTGCTTTTGATCGTAATTATGATTGACGGCAGCGATAAACACAATTGTGAAGGTGGCTTTTGAACTTTAGAGTTCGCATGTTTGTGAAAAGCGCAGTAAAAGTCTCCGTGCAGTCAGTGAGGCCCCTGGATCAGGCGGGATCAATGGGCAGTTAACTGTCTGTTTTATTATACTTCTGGTTTTCATATAATACAATATTTCTGTCCAGTGTAAATCAGCTCATTATACTCGTAGAACGACAACAATTTTTGGAATTTCCAGTTACGTCACGTTATACTGTCACGCTATATTTTGGGGCACAGGGGGTTTAGGGGAGGGGTACGTGGAAATAATGCAAATTGTTTCCTGCTTAGAATTAATGGCTAACTTGTCTATTTTTATTCATAGTGGTGGAATTTAAAAGTTATTATACAGCCCCCACTTAAAAATGGTACTCTTTATTTGGGGTTACGAAAGTCTTTCAAAAGGGTACAATGTTTTGAATGAGTTTATGTTTCAGTCTCACATGAGGTTCTGTCGCATGCAATGGTTGCCGACAAGGTTTTATGGTAGCCTGAGTGTGTATAGCCGCCCCCTCCCCTCAGAAAAAATAGCCCCTTGGCAGCCCAGTTAAAAATCGCCTTTCGGCGATTCTTGTTATAAATTAAAATTGGAAGCGAAGTTTTACAAAGAGATTGAAAAATCTATGCGTATCAAAACAGTAAAAGATTTTGAGTCAGTATTACGAACTAAGATTAATGATGAGTTAGAACTTGAAAGAAAGAAAAATCAATATTTGTCTCGAATACTACTATCGAATGAGTGTGATTTATGGGAAAAAATACGAGATGATGGTTTTAACTGGTTAGTAATACCAGATGAACGTAAGGCTAGATTAACCAAACTTATTGATCTCTATTCTGAGTTTAGAACTCTTGTTGAGAATGTTAAAGATTTAAACACCAAACTTACGAAGATTAAAGAATTAAAAAATGGTGATGATACTAGTGGCGGAGAGTAATCTAATTAAAGAGTATAATGGATGTCTATAATTCTCTTTATCAACAGGTTTGTGATAAAAAGAGTTACTTAGGAAAAGAATTGGATATTTACACTCGTTTATTAAAAGTGTTAGACGAACTTAAAGTTAGCGTTGAAGAGATGAAGAATCTCGCAAAAGATCTAAATGAGACTTCTTCGATAGACACTGTTAGTGATGATGAAGACATATCAGATGATGGTGAGTCATAAGTATGGTATAATTTTATATCAGTTTTGATATAAAATTAATAGGAATAGTAAGTACTACAAAAGTATTAAACAAAAAACAAATATTTTTATATATAGTTATTTTTATTACTAAATACTTTCATAGTACTTATTACATCTCTAGACTATAGAGATTGAAATAACAACTACAAAAGTATTAAACAAGAAACAAATGTATTTATATATAATTATTTTATCAATAAATACTTTTGTAGTAGTTATTACATCTTACTAAAATATGCTTTTAGGAAATCACTGTTGTCACTATCGAAATGTGGGTTATGTATCACGTCTAGAATATCGCTGCTCTGCTGTCGCTCTAGCAAATAATACAAACACCAATAACCACAGAGAACAGTACTTCTGTTTTGTATTTCATCCATTGAGTAGAATATGTGCTTACCAGAAGTGCGAAAATAGGCTCGTGCCTCATTTGTCATCATTAAACCAAATGGATCAAAGTATTCCACCACTGAATCCAGATTTCTGTAACAAACCCAATGTGTTCCAGAGATTGATTAGTCCACATTCTTTTCTGATTTTGTGCGGCGGGCCATCACGACTTTATATTCCTCTGAGATGTTTAATACCAAGTTTGGCAAGCCAATCCATGAGGTCAAAGTTGGATAGAGGTTTGATTACAAAGTGCTGGGAGGGGGTCATAGGGGGAATTGTAGGTTTCCCTATTACAAAATGGTTCCTAGTATGGGAATTGAGTTGAATGGGCTGTTTTTTCCTAGAAGAAGTCCTTTGCCTTTGGACTTTTTTTTTACCCCACATTCCTATTGGGTTTTCCCAAGTTCCAAAAAAGGGTGGAGATCGATGTGGATAGTAACCTTTACCACTTCTAGGTGGTGGCAGGTAAACATTTGCTGTATTTGATGATGAATGTCTATCCACTTGAAGACTAGAGCCTAACATCTTGGATACCAAACCCGTAATCGCCACTGGAATTCCAATAGAGGCAAGCGTGCCTAGGAATCCTCCTTCTATCTGTTTACGTGTTGGATGGATAACCAATCGACCGCCTGTTTGATAAGCTTTGTTTATTTGGTCTCGTTGTGATTTGGTAAATTCTCTTGCAAAATGTGGTAACATTAGGATATATTTTTTTTCGAATTGTTATTCCTCGGCCAAATAATTCTTTTAATCCTATCTCACCAAGTGCAGATGCAGGTGTTACTTTTGAAACTCCTCGCATTGCAAAAGGAAGTAGTTTAGCCCCTAGAGATGCTAGAGATGTGAATACGTTTTCACCATGCTTTACTGATCGCCTAATCTGTGTTCGGCTTATCTTTATATCTGTTCCTGTTCCCGCTGCCAGTGATTTTTTTACTTTAGAAATCTGTCTGCGGGTCAGCATTAACTCATCTGATCCGCGAAGATAAGAATGTTTTAATCAAAGAGTTAGTGGTGATTTATTTCTGATTGCAGAAACTAGTTTTGACTTTTGTCCGTCTGTTAGTTTTACTCCATATTCAATATAAGTTGTCATTTTATTTATAAATTATATTAATTTACGCGCGCAGCAGCAGTTTTCCGCCTTGCTGTTCTATTTCAGCTTCTCGCTCGTGAAGAACCAGAGCGTAAATGTTATAATCAGCGTTCGGATTAGCAGATAGTTCGTAATGAAATGCTAGTTTTGTAACTCCATCTTTTACATCCATTTTTTGTTTTGTTAGGTCAAAGTAAACAAATGGGTATAAAGACTCAAAATTTGCTCTGTTTAAAAGAGTACCCCCTTGATAATCGTTATTCGCGTAAACATAACCTATTACTTCTCGGTAAACTCTTGATGGATTTGTAGCTGGTTTAAAGTGAATATCAGGATATTCATTTCCATTTCCAACCTCGAGATAACAGCGTGGTATATTGGCATTGTTTGGTAGGTTAAAAGTGTTATATAAAAATGGATTTGCTGTTTGTGATTCAACATTGGCTGTGTTAATTCCCCAAACAAATACAAATCGCGGTTTTGAAATAGCATTTGTAATTCTGAATTGGCCTGTTTGTTGTTGAGAGTTATTTGATCGCTCAACCATTTCATTGAGATAAGTCCATCTGTAAGGTTTAAGATAAGTTTCCATGTAGTTTTTTTGACCTTCTGAGTTGAAGGTTAATCTTGGAACAAATAGTTGAAGTCTTGTTAAAATGACTCTACAATTGTTTCCTCCCGCTCGCCAGATAAGACTGGAGTCTTTTTCTATTTCAAGATTTAGCTCAATTTTTGTATTGGGAAGCAGCTTATCTTCCAACTCTTCATAGAATGAATATCTGTTGAGAGGAATTTCACATCGTACTGTTGCTGAGTCGCCTAATATTGCTTTTCTTAAGGCAAAACCTTTGTTATAATTAGCTACAGAGGTTAAAAGTGCTGGTGTTTGCCCATCACCTGCAGCATCTCGTACATTTCCACTGGTACACGTTTGTCTTTCAGCATGTCTTGATTTGTCAAGATAGTAAAATTCATTTGTGGCGATACTCTCCGTATAGGAGGGATTATACTCAAGCAAATTCTTAATATTTACATTATGATTTGCGTAATTACAACGGTAAACGTCTCGGCCATTTGCCAGGATAGTTAACTTTTCTATGAGAGAGTTTGAACCATTTACCATTCCCATTTGATCACCATCCGCATCTATATCAGCTCCAGCGGCCAGCTGGTTAACTTTAAAATCTACTGAAAATCTCGCATTATACCAATCAAATGGAGTAGCTTCACCTGTGTTATCAGCAACAAATCTAAGTCCTGTTTTCTTTTGGTGGGCGTTATTTGCTGGGTTTACATCTAGAGCCTGTTCTAAGTCAAAACAACATCTTCATATCGCTCAAGATATTTTGGGTTTCTAAACGATTACATTTTATTATAATAATTATATAATCTTTCCCCCGGACATAATTTGAAGCACTCGATTATTTATCTCTTGTCGAGTCATTTTCTTTGGGGTGGTGGGCAGTTTTTCACGTGACAGCATTTTTACTATTTTATCACCACCCTTTTTACTATCATGTTTATTAGTCTTTGAGGCAAATGTCACTGCTTTTTTAGTATCTTTTTTTGATGTTTTTCCAAGTAGTTTTGAACTAAACGATTTAAATTTATCACTTTTTGCCTTCTCCGTAGATATGTTGTTTTGTATATTTTCCTGTTTCAGGGCTATATTTCATTTTGAACTCTGATTGTCGCATCATTTTTATTTTAATAATTATACAATATAGTTTCCCTTCCCTGTTGAACGAAGTATTAGTACCATAGCCCTATCAATATTGTTTAAATCTACAGGCCTACCCTTAGAGTCTGTTAAATAAATTCGCATATTAGAAATTTCATGGGATGAAGCAGGACAAAACTTAAGTCTTCGAGGCTCAAATGTGAATGGTGTAGGTACCACAGCAATAGTATCTGTATTACGTCCATCAACAATGATATCTTTTATAGCGCTTGTGTTGATATTTATTTGATCAATTGAACTTGTAATATTTGGCAGTTTTGCTCCATACTCTGTCTTTTTTACTATTTTCTTGTCAAATCCAATGAGGTCTCCAAATTCTGTTCCTCGTAGATCTAACCAGTGATTATCACTAGTAATAGATAACAAGACTTTGTAAGTAGTTAGTATAAAAGTTAGATTGATGCCAAACTTTTTAATACCCTGTCAGTAGTATGATGATTTTTCTGTTCCATGTACTGGTGGATGTAATCGTTGATATCAGAGTAGGAATACATTCCATCTACAAAAGTAATTGTTTCCCAACTATTTCCCTTGTCAGTAGAGTATTTTATAGTATTATTACTGTAATCTCTACTAATGTTGTACCAGGAGTAAATCATTAATAAGCTGTCAAGAGCAAGTTCATGTTTCATACCAGGGTCAAGTTTTAGGGATGGATTAAATCTGATTGTAAAATCACCTGGTTTACTTGTCCCTATTTTTTGTCTATTTACCGAAAAAATATTAATAGCGCGTTCTTGGATTTTATTATATGTCTATATACTTTTTTAACAATGTATTAAGCTGCTTATTAGAAATAGTGCCAATATCTCTAAGGTGATGCGCGATCGGAGTGTATTCGGCCAGCGCATTATTGTTTCCTGCTTTTAGAGATCCATCTAGTAATTCTAGTCTGTGAAGCAGCTCATGGGGGGAGTTATAGAAGTAAATTCCACGTCCTGTTTTACGTCTTTGTTTGAAATAAGGCTCAAAAGCCCTTTTGTATTCCATGATCTTATTTTTATAACCTTTTCGATAATTGAGTAAACCTAAATCTTCTGGAGATAAATTGGTCCTTCGCCCTTCAGCTTGATTAATTTGTCCGGTTATGCTTTTAATAGTTTTATTTCATCTTTCAACTACTTTAGTTAAGTCAGTTAAGCTTAGAGATGGTAACGCTTCTAACGTTGGAAATGGATCGTCTACAAAAGCTGGTGGTTGTTAATAATAGGATGCAGCTAGTGGTTGATTATACTCTGGAATAGGAGCTAGTTGTTGTGTTTCCTCTGGTGGAATTACATCATATGTTATAGATGAAGATCGCATACTTCTTGAAGGTGCTGCTGATGCAGATGATGATGAAGATCGCATTCCTTGTGATGATGCTGATGGACTTACTAGATTTAGAGAGCCTAAAGTAACTCATGGAATTTGAGATGCAGATGACGGTTGTGCTAGTATAGATGAAGATCGCATAGCTCTTGAAGGCGCTGCTCATGCAGACGCTGATGCAGATGATGCAGATCGCATTCCTTGTGGTAGAGCCGCTGATAATGCTGAGGTGTCAGATGCCATTGGATATGGTGATGGCGAAGGATTAGATGAAGGATGCCATGATGGATATTCAGAAGGAAGTAATGGTTGATTTATTCCATATTGTTCCCTAAAACTTGGTGAATAAATATTGAATGGGGGAGATTGCTGAGAAAACCTATCAACAGATGATGACATACTTCGTGAAGGTCTAGATTGAGGAAATACATCTGA